AATGCCAGGATGGCTTCCTCCCTCGAATTCTTCTCTGTTGTAACTGTAGCTCTCTGCCTGTGGACCTATTGGCTCTCTGCACACCAGTCTCTAAGTTCCACAGAGGCAGTGACCTCATGCCTGTCACAGAATCTGTCACCTCTAAATCCATGAAGGAATGAATCCTCAGGGCCTTTGCCCATGCCGCTGGGCACAGCTGGCTATAGACACACAGAGTCTCGCTTCAAATCCATCACCAGGAATTTCAAGTGGCCCTTTCTGCTGCCCCGGTTACACCAGGCTTCCTGACTCAAGTCACCGCCCCACTTCCAAGAGAATGACTTCACACCTGTGACTCCCCATCACCACCTCCCGCACCCTCCCTTTCAGTCGATGGCCTGGCTTCACAACTCACCTCCCAGCACCTGCACCCACACTCTGCCTCCTGCCCGTTAGAAAGTCTTCATGCTCCTCTAACACCAACCCTCTGCGTGTCTCTTACGTCCCAGCCCTGCTTCCTAAGCCAGGACTTCACTCCAGAAAGCCTCTCCTTTGCCCCATCATTAGTTTTGCACCCTCTATGGGGCCACCTCAGGTAGTGCACAAACACTAACGCCCCTCTTCTGTTAGAGCACAACACAAAACAAAACGCCTTCTTCCCACTTCTCTGCCCCATTACTTTGCTCTCCGTGCAACAAAGTGTCGAGGAAAGTGCAGGCTAGTCAGGGGGAGGAGGGCTACATTGATGCCTAAAAGCTGACACACCCTCATCTACCAGAGTTCTTTCTCCGCCTGAGCCTGGTCCAGCAGGCCAGCCTCCCCCACGCCTGGCTGTGCTTCCCGGTCAGCAGCCCAGCTGGGCAAGCTTCCAGCTGTGGACAGAGGCAAGGCTACCGGGGCTCCTGTGCCCACTGGAGTGAAGGTGAGGAGGGAGGGAGGAGAGCCTGTGGGCTGAGCAGGGTGCAGGGAACATTGGCGAAGATCAGAGGAGAAAGATCACCCTGCTGACAGCCTTGAGGAACCTCCTCTATAAACCCTACAGCTTCTTAGACATGATTCAAGATGCACATGGGCTCACTGGTTAAAGATATCGGTTGACACGTCTGGATTTCAGTCCTGTCTCTTCTCCTGACAAGATGTTTGTCTGGGCAAATTTCTGAACCTCAGACCTCAATTTATCTAAAAAAGTGTCTGCAGAATGGGGATTTACAATCACCTCTATACTACTGAGAGGCTATGAGCATTAAGTGAGATAAAGCAGATAAAACCACAGCACCATGCCTAGTTCTTAACACTAGGAGCTAAAAACAGAACACAATTTTCCCAGGATCTCAAAACAGCACTGTCAGGAGTAAAGACAAGGAAGAGCCACAGAGAGCAGAAAGGAACCTTGGGGACCTCGCGCCCAGCCCCTTTGTCTAACAGATGAGGGGGGAAAGGATCAGAGAGGTCGAATCCAAGGTTGCATAGCTAGTTAGTAACAGAGCAAGGTTCAAATTCAGGTCAATCTGGCTCCCAAACCCCCATCACCTCTCACCCCATCCCACCCATCTGGGTCTCCTGCCCACAAAGAGGGCACTGGTCAGGGAGCCCTGCTGGCACTCCTCCCCATAGCCAGCCCCCGGAGTAGGAGCCACCAAGATACCCCGGGGTGAGTGCCCAGAAGTACGAGCTGAGGGGAATAGGGTGGCAGTTACCAAGCATGTGAAGGTGTTATGCAAATGACATGCTAAGTACATGTAAATGACCACAAGTTATTGATAAATCTACCACTTGAGGTACTTATTTTTATTTTTGTAACTGGATCACACTACATGCTGTGAGCCTTTGTCTCTTTGTCTTTCTGCCAAGTGGAAGGAAATAAAATGTGTGGTTGACTGACCAACCCATGCCTCACCAGGTGCCTGGGGCCCTCCGGCTGCGAGGTGCTCTCCCAGACCCCGCAGCCCACTGACTCCAGCAGATCAGCAGGAAGCAGTGACAGGCAAGGGCCCAGAGCGGCCAGTCGGCTCAGCCCAGCCTCCAGGACCCCGGCTTTGGGAGCTGGGCCCTGGCAAGAGAAAGGTTCCTCTCCATGGGGCACTCCAGGCACTGTGGGCCTGAGCTGATGGGGCAGCACGGTCAGGGCTGCCCAGGAGGCAGCATGGAGATCTTAGCCCCAGCAAAAAGGTTGATTAGAGGGCCGGCATCTGGAAGGCCTGCCTGAAGCTCAACCTGAAGCTCTGCAAGCTCATCTAGTTCAGCCCACGTTTACTGAGTGTCTGCTACACGCCAGACACTGTGCTAGGCTTTCTGGAGAAATAGCAGAAACAGACAGAATGCCAAGCTGCCCTGGTCGCTGCCCTTGGGACACTGACGACCCACCAAGTGAGAAAAAGCAAGGACAGGTGTAACTTCACGGTGCCTGGCACTTCTCTGGAAACGG